GACTCCATTGGTTCCATTCATCAACATGCCTTCGTTCTTCATCCACATGTAATCATTCAGACGCTCACGATGGCGACGAACTGAATAGCTGTCTGGCCCATCATGGAAATAGCAAGCTACCATGTTCATCGGGTTGCTCACAGGGCCTAAGCCTGCATAGTCCGTATTCTCGTCCTCCATTCTAATCAACTCCCAGGTCCAATCCTCTGCGCGTTTCACCAATGCAGAAATTCGGAGGTAGGGATTCCACACAGAGACGATAAGTTGGTTGAGCAGGTTTAAAAGCCAAGTCTTGGGATAGTAATTATCGGCTTCATGGATCGAGTTCCGGTGACTTGCAAAGTTGATGGAGTCGTAAGGCTGAGTGTACAGCTCCTGGCGCAACTGTTTCGTGAGCGGATCCAGAGGGTGGGTGAATTTCTTGGACCATAGGTACGACATGGGCAAGAACACTTGACGTATATGGATCCACCACCGCCAAGGTGCAAAGGGAACCCAGTCCGGAAGCAGCCTACACCATTGTTAGACACTTGCGGGTGTTTGACAAGAAAATGCGCAGGTGGAATGCAACGTACCAAATCTCAGGCGGGACAGGATTGACGCACTCCCATTCCATGACACCGAGGACACTGAGCCAAAATTTCGCCCAGTGAGGTCCATATACGGCGCCGCCGAACTTATGTAAGAGCCCACGGGCTTTGATCATACGAGGATCGTCTTCGCTGACACCAATCAAGCGCAGTGCCACGTAGTTCATGCACGTACCAAAGACAGAGCTATGCGCCTCAATGTGCAAGCCCCAGCCGCCGTCTTCTGGGTGCTGACGAGCAAAGAGATACCTTTTGATCTCAGTCGCATACTCCGGCGGGATCGGAGTGTCGGTCACGTAGTACGTGATGATGAGGCCCGGCAGCAAGAACATCGGACCTCCGTACTCACAGGCCCAATTGCCTGGAGGAAGCTGCAATTTGGAGAAGAATTCCAAGCCATTCTCAGCACTTTGCAGTGGAGTTTTTGCTTTCGGCAGCTCTGGAAGTCCCTGAGGTAGAATAGTCAGTTCTTGTGTATGGCAAACACGCGGTTCTTGTCGGCAGGGGCGAGAGGGTTACCATAGGGAGTCCCAGAAAATGTTTGTCAGCGACTGATTGAGGCCATTTCTCATTCTCTTCATCAGACTCCAGGTAATGCCAGGTCTGACGGCCCCGATCATCTAACAACCTCCATCTTGAATAGTCTGTTTTGAGGTCTCCGTTCTCGTCAGGACTCAAGTGACCTTGAGCTGCAGTTCTCCACGGGGCAATGGCGCCTCCCGTCATTGTCTGCCTAGGGAGAACTTCAAATTCCAAGATTCTACCGTAAATGCTGAGGTTTATTTAATTACTTGATCAACTGATGAATGCGCAAACGATGAACAGGGGAATTAATGAAAAAAAAGGGCACCAATACTTGAGCAGATCACATGTAGATGTTGATATGCATATGCTTAGTCATCAGGGGCACAACTTAGCCATACGCATCAGGCAACACAGCTGAATCGGTGCTCCATCTGTATCTTAAGAGTGAAAATTATGGATGGAACAGAAATTAGTGCTTTGGTAGACAGACTAAAGTGTGCAGAAGTCGTTTTGTTAACAGCGCTGCTGAGTATAATCTTATTCTGGCCCAGTTTATAGACCAGATAGTTTCTGGAGGCAAGAAATATAGTTCTTCGAGCCTGAAAGAATCGAATTTACATTTAAGCAGTCCAAAAAGGCTTAATAAGATAAAATAGGACTTGTCATGGCATCAGCGAGGACTCCTGGATTCAGTAAAGGACGCGAGGCCCCCGAGTCCCTTCACTGCTGTCTCGCCTAGGTAGTCACTTGACTCTTGCTCATCAACTAGTTCTTCTTCCTCTATCGAGACACATAGTATACGACCATGAGCTGACTACTAGCAATGGAGAATACACTGGACAATGCTGAATCGAGCTCAGCTAGACTGTTCACGAATCAGGACCAGTTCCAGAAAGAGAGAGTTCAGAAGTTTATTGACAATGCACTCATACAGATTCTCGATGAGCTGCGGACGCCAAACGGTCGACCAACCTTGACATTGAAACGAAGATCCAGAGGAGTTTCCTTTACCATCAATCCCGAAAACCTTGCTCTGGGGACCGAGGAGGAAGAAAGACGATCATCCTACAGCTGGCCGGGTAGGAATGCTTATGAGGCTTGGAAGTTTAGTACGGAACATCTATTACTTTGAAGATCTGGATCAAAACTGAATTTGTTAGCTGCCATCATCCGAGGCATAGCAGTTATCGCAGAAGCAATCCATGCTGGTCTGGTAGTTTCCAAAAGGTATCAATTATCTGAAAACAAGGTAAGCCTCGAGCGCTGGCTGATTTGAGCAACAGAGACATCTATTACAGCGACCCAGCTTGTTTCGGTTCTCAGCAAATAGTTGACACGATAATTGATGATATTGCCCATACGGTTGGGGTTGATAGATGGGCGTTGAACGTGGTAATACGTTGAGGTCGACTATTTGACTCGAACGTCCAGCTGACATCAGATGGCACAGGAAGCGGTAGCTAAAGGGCTTGTTGCGGGATATTATCGTCTGATGACCAAAGCTGGTGAAGTAGTGGACGCTCGCTTATCTACCAAGGTAGTTCAGAATATTCACACTTCTCCCGCGAATGATAATGACGATGAGATGAGCTAGGATGTCCTGATACCGAAAACGGAAGACATTGAGGCAATTGACGCCTCCGAGGTGAAATGGGTCTTGATCCTGGAAAAAGAAGTAAGAGAGGATATATCAGCACGTATCTCACGCTGCCCACAGTGTGGTAACAGACCATTCCCAGGCAGTCTATCGTCGACTCTCGAGAAGCAGCTACCACACTAGAGCCGCGGCAGGCAAAGGTGTACTGGTAACAGTGAGTTTCTCAAGGCTAGAACCACGGTGTAGAAGCCGACGTGAAACACAGGGAAAAGGATATCCGGACCTGAGCACGCGAGCCTTTGTTCGAAGACTGCTTGATGAGACTAGACATCTCCCCGAGGAGGAAGGCCCGCGCTTTTACGCTCTCGTCGACAGTGACCCCGATGGCATGGCAATCATGTCAACTTATAAATATGGCTCGATGGCGCATGCGCGCGACAACGAGAAGCTCAATGTTTCCAAGCTTCGCTGGCTGGGACTCCGAACATCAGATGTCATTGGAGGTGCAGACTCCTTCGGGGACGAGGCTTTCATTCGCCTGAGCCCGAGGGACAGAAAGAAGGCTATTGCAATGCTGTCGAACAATCCCGTGTGGGCAGAAGATGGGCCAGAGCACGAATGGCGCGCAGAACTGCAGCAGATGCTCATGTTGAACTTGAAGGCGGAGATTGAGGTTCTCTACGATCGGCAGGAAGGACTTGAAGGGTGGATCGATAAGAAGATGACCACTCCAAGCTGATACAACGGGACAACGGATTGTCGCTTCGAAGCCGAAATTATAAAGTTTTCGATTGACAATTGATGGAATGTAAAGGAAACAAGAGGTCTATTCCGCGTCAACCTGTTACACAATAAGAACAAATATTAAGCCGAAAGCGACATGCTGAGTGATACAAATGATTGAAAAGAACATAAGACATCGGGAACACCAGAAACGCCATTTATCCGACCCAATCTCATAACCGCCCAAGCTTCGATGCTAGGAGTGCAAAATGTAGTGATACAAAACTCGTAGCAGAGCATGGCTCACAGCTTTATGTACAGCCCCAGGAATAAATACCATATATATCCATACAGCCCGTCCGCACGTTGTCCCCTACAGACCCAAGCCTTTCCTGACTTCATCACGAACCTTCCGTTCATACTCGCTTCTGCGTTCTCTCCACATTTTTGCCGCCTCGACGTTGGCAGGACTTTCGTCGTTGGGTTCTGCCAGCATACTCATGACGGAGATTAGGATTTTCTCCACACTCTGAATGGGCGACCACCGCTCGGAAGCATGCTCGTAATGGTTTGGATCATCGCCGGGAGGATGAAGAATAGATATGCAGACGGTTCCGTTGGGATAGACTGTTAGGAGGTCACGTCAGTCACCGCATGGACTCGCTGTTGAGTGAAGGGAGAAGAGGCACGTTATTTCTCACCATTCGGATGCCACACCCCACCACCGACAAATTTCATTGTTGGCGGGCTCAGCGGGTAATCTTTGGGAAACTTGAGCTCTGCTGCAAACACGCCTCCTTCGTACGGTGTACCCTCAGGACCTTGAATCAAGGCCTCCCAGTGAAACATATCATCCTCGCTGACCGGACCGGCAGTGATGCCGTCAGGTGGGTTTGTTGATAAGTTCTTATATTCGTGAAAGAGACGTTTCTGTGCGACGGACGACATTGTGTAGAGGAAGATCCAAAATTGAAGGAAAGTGAGCGAGCAGACTTTTGAGCCGTGCGACAAAGAGAAGGAAAAGCGTTGAGATTGCAGCCGAAGCCGTGGAAGTGGGCTGCGGAGAAGTGGTGATCGGTGTGGGGTTCAAAGATCCCGGTTCCCCAAATGTGGATGCTGTCTGAATAACCTCTAGTTATAGTTGAACCTGCAAAGAGTAGAGCGGACGGCCTAGAGATCGAGGGCCAGTGGGAGGATTGGAGAATGCTGCCGGAGGATATTAGTCCAAGTACTTTATAGCTAACGACAGAAATGGAAACGGGGTTCGCCAGTTGCCACCCGGCAAGTTTTTCAATTTGGCTTTCCCCCGAGGATCGGCCCGCAAGGACTGAAGACCGATCGTAAGTTCAATATGAGCCGCTGATTGCTGCACCTAATGAAAGGACAAGGTAAAGAAGGGCTTGACAGTCTCACATCGAAATAATATTTCTTATAATACATTATTAATCTACAAGGGGCGATCTATAATCTATATGGAGAATGATCTCGAGAGTTCCCATTGTTAACGAGAACCAAGAGAAACGAGCAGGAACGACATATGCCAGGGTATAATCTTATCGCCATCATCAAAACCAGTCATTGTCATCATTTCCTTCTTCGCCCTCATCATCTGGCTCCTCAATGTTCCAGGGATCTTCAGGCCCGCGAGAAAAAGGATCCTCCTGGTCCTCGGCCCATACATCCCCGTAAGGGCCCGCTTGACCGGGGTCTGATGATTGCTGGTCTGCCGAGTATGGCTGCTGTTCGGGTGAGGGAGGATGTTGCGGATTGCTGTCTCCAGCCATGCCTCTGGACAACGCATCGTAACCAGCCATCGCACCCGCACCCGCAGCTCCTGCAGTAGCACCTTCGGCAATTCCTCCAGCGGCGCCAGCCCTGCCAACGGTGCCCGCGGCCGCCTCACCTACAGCTCCAGCTTCGCCAGCAGCGGCACCACCGGCAGCGGCCTCTCCGCCAATGCCGGGTAACCAGATGGGCATGAAGCCAAAACCGCCAGCACCACTGTGACGACTAAAGTAATCGAAGTCAATGCTGACCGCAGTGGCCAGCATTACTGCCCGTTGATCCAGCGTCATTCCGGTTGGCGCGTTTGCTTGTGTGGTCGAATTCTCGGGCCCAAGAGCCGCAGAATCCATGCGAAGAGCATAAACACCTGTGTCTGTGAACAATTCCCGCGCGAAACCAACGAAATTCCGATTGACTGAGCCAATGAGTCGGCTGTCTGCCGAGCGTAGAGAGAAGTCCCATGACAAGAAGGGCTCATCGACATAGGCGAACTGATGGTATTCCCCAACATCTTGACCGCTGTCACTGGTCTGCGTCAATTGCATCTGCTGCGAATTTGATAACCCGGTCTGTGAAAGAGGTAACCTCTGAGTTCCCATCTCTGTGGCGCCAACAGGGGAGTGGTGATAGGTGAAAAGGTTGTATTTCCGCCGCAACGGCGCCCACTGCTGCTGTGCTTCTCCAATGACACGCATATCCCCTAATCCCAAAGGCGAAACGCGTGCATTTGAGCCCCCCGTAGCTTGGACAAGAGATCCTGAGGGTCCAGTCTGGACAGCGGTTGAAGACGAGAAGGTGCTTTTGGCAATATCAAGAGGGTCGTATACCCGAATGCGAGAGTTAATCCAAGAGAAGGGGCGGTGGAACTGAAAGGCGTTAGAAGAATCATTTCTGGTCCAATTCCACAAAAGGATATAGACTTACTCGAAGCACCTCGTTTTCGTGCCGATCAAACACATGCGTCACAAAACTTCGATGTGTTCGAAACCACTGTCGCGCCACCATATTTGCCATGCCTTTCTCTTGTTCGGCCATGTAGCCGATATGGTTTCCATTTGCATCCATGACGACGTATTTATTCGCCTGTTCAAATCCGCTGAGAATCCCTGGTTAGCTTTGACATGACCTTCCCTGCGATATATGAAGCTGCATACATCATCACATTCATCAACTCAAGCTGTCTTTGTATAACCAAACCAGAATTTGCCAATATCCCCATGGCCGGATGTGTCTCTTTGAGCACGCCATTGGGATCTTCTGGTATATGAACGGGAGAAAGTAAGGTGTTCTGGGCAGGGTCGTAGGTCGGATTTGGCCTGTTGGGTTCCGTAGTTGTTTGTTCAAATTGTTGGGGAGAGAGTGCTCCTCCGTTATGTGCTATGGGCCTTGATCTCCGTGTCAAATCTCGCGGAACTCGGGGGGACCGACGTCCTCTTGTGAACGAGCTCGCGAAAGCACGGCCAGGCACGGCCACCGACCCTATAAGATGCGTTCGTAGTCTTGAGCTCCACATAAAGGTGGTTACTCGAGGGGTGTGAATGAATAGACTTGACGTATGTTGGTTCTTGAGACTTAAGTAAATCCGTCTGTAACTTCCGCAAATGAAGACGAACACCTTTGGTAACTCTCGAGGAATAAGGTGGATGAAATGTCAAGCTGTGGCGGCGCAAAGAGGAATGACGAAGTTCGATTGTACTCTCGTACCGCACGGGATTAAGCGGAGATAAGGGGCCACGCAGAAGAAACCAGAAGACGTGCACAGTCAACAAGTGTCATGATTATACCCTTTAACCCGTTATGAATCCTACAAGGCCCTGATGAGTGTGAGACCCATTCCGATTTTGTAGAGAAAGAATTTATTGTTCTCACTCAACTGGAACGTCTCATAGTACTGACTGAGCTCATCACGGTTCCACATCATGGCTGGCGAAACGAATGACTGAGAACGCTGAATGAGATTGAATATACGTACAGCATAAAGTCTCGCTGAAGAAACAACACTGACCCTGCTGTTGATGCCCTACTCAATTCGTATGATTACAATAGACCTTTCCGAGCCAACTCAATCTTCCGCGCCGCCTCCCCAGGCTTGTAGCCTCCTTTCGAGATGCAGACAGCACTTCCTTCGCCCAATTCAATCTTATCTTCGACACTTGGATGCGCACATGGGCAATGATGAGGAAAGTCAACGCATGCGAGCGTCCCCGGACAGAGGTATTTGTTGCAGTTGGCTGATAAAGCGGCGCAACGAGGCGTTAGCTATATTGTCCTTGATTGAAAGCTAAAATCCTGTGCGACAACTCACTTCCTTCCCATAGCTGCTGGTATCTTAAACTGTCGCTGGCAGAATTTTGTGTGCCTTGTTGATGGTGTTCTTGATGACCACCTCCAAACATGTGCTCGAAGAACTGGAATTGCGCCTGAGCGACGGAGGCCAGAAGGAGTAGAGCCCCGAGGCATCTAACCCAGCTAGAAAGCATAGTGTTGGTTACCTTATTATAAAGAGCTAGGTTACTTATATGGAGAAGAAATGAAATATAAAAGATTCAGTTAATGATAGCTGAGTTGACAACAAACCATTCGTCCCTTGAAGCCAGCTATCTCAATGACACGTGACTATCCGCCAAGATTGTTGGAAAAAGTCGCGGATTTCCAACTGTGATGAGCTTCCGCAGTCCTCCCCGGTTGGGCATTGGAGTGACACCACTTTCTCCGCAGACCACAATGTTACAACCCAGACTGTTAGCACCCTTCCGGGCGCTCGAGCGTACATTTGCTTCTTCCCTCCGCTCGTCGCAGGCGATACACCACCCGCCTCGATCTTCGCTACTATTCCAACGAACCCCAATCTCCGCACCGTCTCCGATCTCGAAATTCCTCCTCCCTCTCTCTCATGTCCGTCACGCCTCTCATGCTACTCAGGGTACTGCAAACCGACACTCCCGTGATCCTGCTGGGAAGCGGCTCGGCGCGAAGAGAACCGGTGGTGAATATGTTGTCCCCGGTTGCATTATCTTCCGACAGCGCGGAACGAAGTGGTTCCCCGGCGAGAACTGTGCGATGGGCAGAGATCACACCATCTACGCCACAGAGGCTGGCTATGTGAGATATTACCTTGATCCCGAGCGGCATCCGGACCGGAAGTACATTGGTGTTTGCTTCGAGAAGGAAGGAAAGCTGCCCACACCGCGGAACGCTCCGACGAGACGGAAGTTGAACAGAACCGCGGTCCCTCGCCTCCCTGATGGCCCAGAAGCCGCTGCTCAGTCAGATTTGATTGCAACCATTGAAAATGGTACGATGGTCTCCAGCGTGGAGGCCGCCAATGCTGCCACAGGGCCCCAGCTGCGTCCTGGATACATGTACCGTGAGGCGAACTGGCAGATTGGTCGCGCTGCTGAGAAGGCCGGCATCACCGCCAAGCCCTATAGACGCAAGAATCGCTGGCTGGCCTGGAGAAAGAGGCAGGCTAGGGCCGATCGTGCTGCCCAGATGAAGAGCCTTAAGAGCAAGAAGAAGGCCGCGAAGAAGGGCAAGGGTGGCCGTTAGTTGATTGATAAGTTCTCTTCCCTTCAGCAACATATTATCAGAGCTCTTTGTATTACTCATTCGTGGGGGTTTAAGGTGTTTCTTGTATTATAGAGATTGTCACATGGACCAAATTACCTCAAATTGTATCATGTGTCCGAGTCCTCGAACAAGCAGCAAACAAGACCAGAATCGTAAACCTGAATTGTATTTGTTGTCTAATTTGGGTTGTTCCAAAGAGCGAGAATTAGATGCTCTGTCAAGAAACACGCATTTGGAGAAGTATAGCAGAAGAATGCCGGGTATCTATTCAAGTCTAGAGCATTGGCGGCTGGCTCCGACCTGGGAATATCACAGCCATTAACCAAACAAAAAGCTCCAGCTTCCGATGCATATGATGCGCAAAACCCATAGCGACATAACAAGATAGGACGGCACGGAAAGGCCGTCAAGGAAGGAAAAAGGGAGACATCACTGCCCGAACAGCCTCCCGAGTATGAGGCTCTGACAAACAAACTCATTGCCCACTATTTTGACACTGGTACTCAAGCCAATATCGCTGCCATCGATAGACTCAACCAGCTCAGTCCTTCTGCGCTTCTTCGTACCTTTAAATGACTGAGACTTGAGTGTACCGGGTATTGAAGAACCAAGAATCGTGGCCTTTGCTGATGCCATCTCATCGCCGTCGACGTAGATCCAGTCCCAGGTGCATCCAGTGCCAGCTGCGGCCTGCTGATCCAGGCTTGCTCTCGCCGACTTAAGGTCAGGCACACGCTCAACTCTAGAAGCACCCAAGGCGTACGTGAGGAAAATGTATGCCTTTCTTCTTTCTTCATCTGATCGCCCACCGCGACCCATGACAAGCAACACCGACTGGTCTTTGAGTAAGTTGGGGCGAGCTGCAATGGTATCCGGCAGTCGCGCTGTTGTAGCCGGATAAGGAGCCAAGAACCTTGATTTCGTTGCTCCATTGAGATACATAGATTCGCCCGAAGGGAGCAAGTATATTTCCCAATCGAGGATTCGGTTTTGGGCAATACAGTCCTCAATCCAGCGGTCTGATAGACAAGGTATATTCAAGGCCAGCGCCTGCATGTATTTGGGGCGGCGAGAGTGCTTATCAGCGATGAGGCAAGCGAATCCCACTTCTTCGGCAGTAGCTGCCAGACGGAACTGTCCATTGTCACAGTTCGCATCTGGCGCTGGAGATTTTGTTGGTGTCGTGAGTGGTGCGTGCGAAGGTAACTCAAAGAGCTCATTGAAGCCGTCCTTCAGGATACTCCCATCGTTGTCTAGGATCAATTTCGTGATACGGGATTTGGCTTCATCATTATCACCGTAGGACACAGCGAACACCATGCCCGCGAAAACACCGTTCAAGAAGCGAATGCTTCGCGGTAACCGTGAACCCGGAGATGCTGGTGTGGAATACCTGTCAGACGGCGTTTGGAGCCTGCTTTCGGAATGCGTAGTTGCCGAACTGTAGGTGAAAGCTCGATCTTTGAGCTGATTCCACAAGATCGTGTCCAGATAGATCCGCGCTACGGGAACCTTGATGAGGTTGTCGGGACCCGTCAGACCAGCGGTCGGGAGGCTCTTGCGTTGCTTCGGTCCGAGTAACAAAGTAGTATACCCGTATACATCGGTGATTGGAAGGACCCCGTCAGAGGCAGCCTTTGTGAGATCCTCAGCGCTAACCCTGTCCTCAAAGCCGCGAATTATATGCGTCACCTTGGGGACATTGGGCATGTCAACCTTGACAGCATCACCGATTTTCAATTCCAGTCGTTTCACAGCGCCTATCGGCACTTCAAGGGGAAGGCTATCTTCAAACTTGACCAAGACTCGCGACTGCGAGATGCCGGGTGGCTTGCCGACACATGTTGCAGGATAATATGCCCGTTTCTGGCCACTCCAGGGAGCAATGACTTGATTCAGCGCAATTGGAAAGTTGTCTCCATGGAGCGGACTGACTAGATCGGAGTCGTCACACCGCATTGGCTCTGAGGATTTATCCTTCATTTTCTCTCTTTTATCTTGTGGGACCTCAAGACTTCCCTCACAAAGACCCCCTCTTTCCTCAGCATGCATATTCATATTCTCTGCTGGGTGAGGCCCTGAGTCTGCCTCAGCACGAGGGCGAGGAAGCTTTTTCAACCTTTCTTTGCGGGAGACGTGATATTGAGGAGTATCCTCCACCTCCCATACTGTTCCCATTCGCTTGGAAGATCTTGATCGTTTTAGGAAGCTCGCTTCAGACTTGTCCACGAACTCTTCGGTTTGCAAACTCTGTCCCGTGATCTTCTCGCCATTTTGACATTGAGCATGCTGAGAACCGATACGAGGCGCGAATGGTAATATCGGATCAGACGCATATACGTTCTGCCCATTTCCACGCCGCTTTTTCCTCGGTGGAATCGGGGACGCGGAGACCACAGAACTAAATTCCTTATCATCAGCTGTGAGAATGCCAATATCAACATCGACGAGAGCAGTTCCAGCTTGAGGCGAAGCATCGGCAGCTATCTCTGTTA